GATACTATATGAAAAGACTGTATTCAGTGACCGCTTGACAACTTGCAGAGCCTTGTCATGTATGCCATCTCATTGATGCTTACAGCGATAATCCTGTGGACATAGAGGGATACAGTTTTCAGATTATAGCCCCATCTATTGAAAAGTCTTTCTCCATCGAATTGCCTTTGTACCTTTGTCAGAAATCAACTGACCAGACTTACAGCATATTATGAAGTAATACATATGACAGTATTACACAGAGGATGGGGCTTTATAGAAGCAACGGAGTGACATCAGAGAGTAACTTGAAGAAATGAATAGTACCAGAAACATAAAATATGTAGGTTAATATATTTTTTATCCTTCTTAACATTTTAGAAAGACATGACATTGTATAAAGCAATGTTATAACACTGTATTGAGTTTATAATATATAGACATTATGTATCTATATATATATATGACAATAATAGCACAAAGTGGGGAGAAAGGAATAAAACTCTATTGGGGTAGTTTCTGTATTTTTTAGAATTGAATTAGTGTTAATCTGAGGTCAGTTGTAATAAATTAAGATGCATATAGTGATTTCTAGAACCTTCACTAAGAAACTGAAAAAAATACAGTTGACCCTTGTACAATGAGGGGGTCAGGAGTGCCAACCCTCTGCACAGCTGCAAACCCACGTGTGCCTTTGCAGTTAGCCCTCTATATCTGCAGCTCTGCATCTGCGGAGCCAACCAACCAGGGATCATGTACTGCTGTAGAACTTATCTATTGAAAAAATATCTACACATCAGTGTACGTGCACAGTTCCAACCCATGCTGTTCAGTGGTCAGAAGCCACAAAGAAATTAAAATGGTAAATGGTGCACTAGAAAATATCTATGTAATACAAAAGAAGGTGGTAAACAAGGAGCAGAGGAATTAAAAAAAAAGACGTGTGCTGTATAGAAAGCAAATAGGGAAGTGTCAGGTGTAAATCCAACAATATCAATATTAATTTTAAATGTGAATGGATTCAACACTCCAGTCAAAGGACAGAAATTATAAGACTGGATATAAAAACAAGATCCAGCTATGTGCTCTTTGTAAGATTGGCACTTTACAATCAGAGACGCCAGCTTTGGAAGAACCCCAGCTGTCTCCTCTACCCTCTGAATGTATCCCCTCTGTTCCATGCCTTGAAACCCTGAGCTCCGATGGTATTAGGAGGTGGGACCTTTGGAGATGCTTAAGCCACGATGGAGCCGCCCTCGTAAATGGCATTAGTGCCTTAAGAAGAGACTTCGCAGAGATACCCTGCCCCTCTCACCACATGAGGACAGGGAGGAGGACCTCCGCCAGAATGAGGCCGTGCTGGTGCCTCGATCTTGGACTTTCCAGCCTCCAGCACCTTGAGGAATGCATCTCTGTTGTTTATACGCTGCCCAGTCTGGCATTTTGTTGTAGCAGCCAGAACGGACTAAGGCGTGCACCGTTCTCTCCTTCCTTTGGTCCTTCTGTGATTCTGCTTACACGCATGTCACATGGATGTTAAATGATTCTGCACCAAAGGCCTCTGACATTTGTTTTGGTTTTTTTTTTAATTTTTCTTTTTGTACTTCAGTTAAGTTTCTTGTGACTTATTTTCAAGTTCACTAAATCTTTTCTTGGGCTCCATCTAACCTACCATTAAGCCTAGTAAATACCTTTAAAATATATTTTTTGTTTCTAGAATTTTGTTTAGAATTTACATTTTTTTGCTTAAAGTTTTCATTTTGTCACCCATTTGTCTATTTTTTTCTCAATACTGTAACATTTATTATAGTTATGGTAGAGTCTTTATTAATTCCAACATCTAAGGTTTTCAATAACCTTAGTTTTCTGAAGGTCTTCTTATGTTGACTTTAGCTCTTGATTACTAGATACACTTCCCCCTTCTTCACCCAGCTTAGAGTTTTCACTGGAGGCTGGACACTGTGTGAAGAACAGACTGATGCTGATGCTCCGCCCCCCGCCAGGGATCTCGTCCTTCCCTCTGTCTGGCAAGTAGAGCCAGGGTCTCACTTGGTCAGTGTAATCAGAAGTCAGGAGGAGTCGTGGCCGAGGTGCAACGTTAGTTACCTCGGTTCTGGTTTCAGATGTCTTAAGGATGGGAGCAGGGCTCCCTCTTCGGCAGGGCTTTGGGATTAGAGCTTGCTTGCCATTTTCCGTCCCTTCCCCAGCTTCCCATGCTGTTGCTTAAACATAGCAAAAGTCCTGTGAGGGAGAATTGGTGAACCGGAGGGATTGGTGTCCCTCCAGATTCCAGTCCCCACACCGGTTCACGTGTGGCCCTTACAAGCAGCGCTGTTCATTCCTGGTCCCAGTGGAGCTGCTGGCTCACCCCTCCAGCCCCTGTGCCCAGACTTAACAGCTGGCCTTATGGAAGGAAGTGGCTATCTGGTGCTCTCTGCTTTACCCAGGAAGGGCTCTTTTCTCATTGAGATTTAGGTCCTTTGAACTTCTTTGTGTTTACCTGTCTTTTATGGCATTGAAGAAAAATGGCATGTTTTAAAGCCCTTGTCATAGAAATGGTGGCTGTGAGGTCTTCTACATCCTGATTAGAGATGCAACCTTCTCCTGCTCTGACTTTTGAATGAATAATATTGAAAAAAAACACTGCTTTGTGATCATGTCTCATGATTCTTACCCTTGCCCTTGTCATAGTGTAGAGGTGGGGACCAGCAAACGTTTTCTTAAAGGGCCAGCTGGTAAATATTTTGGGCTTTGTGGACAGAGTGGCAAAATTGAGGCTTTTTTGTAGGCACTAATATATGACTATTCAAAATGTACCATTTAAAGATGTAAAGGCCATTTTTAGCTCATGGGCCATAAAAAAACAGGCGACCATAGTTCACTACGCACTGGTGTAGCGACAAATGATGAAAAACAATTTGAACTTTTTGATGAACAAAAAGCAAGCAAATACCAGATACTTTTAAGAAATTAAATTCTAGCGGGTTCTTTGTTACACCGTCTACCAGATTTACCCACAGTAAGTATCAAAAATGATGATACTGAGCTGTCAAGACAACTTTAAGTTTTGTTTCATGTCATAAAATTGAATAATAAATTTTAGAAAAATGTTTGTCAGAAATATTTTTTTAAGTTTATGTAGCTGAAGAGTTGGTTATAGTCATATGGAAACCTTCATTTAAAAAGCCTCATTCATTCCACTGGAGTAATTCTACTGTATATATTGAGCATTAACAAATTTTTTTTAAAAGCTGTAAGCCTCAAAATGGGTACAACTGAGTAGAAAACAGACACTTAGATGTATAAATACAAAGTAGTGATTACAGTAATGTAGCTTTGCCCAGGGCGCCTCTGTAGGATTGGGGAAAGGTGACAGGGAAGACTTCAGAGAGAAGGTGATGCTCTGCTGACTCCTGAAAAGGAACTAAGATTTTGCCGGGTAGACATTTTATTCATCCAGTATTGCCATATTGTTGAATAAACTCTTTCATAGTCACTTTAGAAATAGTTTGACTATGAGGAAACAAACTTAGAAACCCATTCTCTCCTTAGACGGTTACATGCCTGTGGAAATGTAGATGGTAGGTGGTAGATAAACAGCCTTTTGTGACTGTTTTAACAAACCAGTTATCACCCCAACATTATGCAGTGATTAAATAATAGCTTAGCAAGAGCAATTTGACTTCAGCCTTTCGAGAAGTTTATTGCTGTTTTAAATCACTCTAGCACAGTGGTGTTAAAAAGTAAAATGCGAATGTGAATCACTGTAAAAATCGCATCTCTTCTGCAGATTTAAAAAGAAGCATTGTAGTTGTTGTAATGAGAGTATTTCAAAGCAGAGAGTTTTCTTTTTAGATACTTTGTAGATTCAATAGCTAACAGAATGGGAGAAGAGTGACCACAGGAATTTTTGCTTCGGGATGGGAGTAGAACTTTAAGGGGACAAATTGGACTTTTGCTAAAGAGAATATAGTGTAGAGTTATTTATGTATTCAGTGGTAGCATGTTAATATGCTAGTAAATCTTTTTCCAATTCATGGGAAATTGGCTAGCTTAATGAAAAAAAACTGATCATTTTTTATTTGCCTTTTTGAGAAAGCTCCTCTGGAAGTCACATTTTACTGAATTATTAAACACAGGCTTTATTGAGTAGGTAATAAGGATTTTTAATTTGTGGTAAACAAAGGCTAATAGTGCTTTGAAGAGCTAGACATTAGGTATAGTAGATTATTTTCCATAGCAAGCAAACTGAAATCCTTTCTAACATTGATGCTTGATATATAATTTTTTTTAGTCTTTCTTTATATTTTTCTTTTAGCTTTTAAGTGTCAGAGTACATATTGAGAATTACAAAAATATCTACATTCATATCTAATAATTCTGATACTTGGAAAGACCCAACAGAATTATTTAAAAGCAAACAACTACCTGCAGAAAGATGCTCATCCCAGCTTATCTTTATCAGCACCCTCATTCCCACAGAAACCTGAAAGAGCTTGACAGCAATAGGGGGATGACTGGGTAAATTGTGAGTCAGTAGAATAGTATACAGCCATTTAAAGTAGTAATTATGAACACCATGTAGAAAGATGGGGAAATGTTTGTTATCGTCTGTTTTTTAAAAAACAAACCTGAATACCGAATTGTTCCACTGTAAGACACCAAGTTGGGACATTGGGAAATGAATAACCAGGATCTTGAACTAATTTTGATGCATGAAACACTCTTACTGTCCCATTCTGTAGGTTTCTAAATACAGTTTTGATTCTCTCAGATATGATGATCAGGAGAGATGGGTGAATACAAGAGAGAAGGGCTGAAAGTCAATGCATAGCCCTTACTTTGAGGATTCTCTGTGTGAGAAGACAGCTTTGAATGTTTATGTCTGAGCTTTCAGACACTTCCTAAGTGAGCATTCTGGACATAATGTTATTGCCTACCTCTTCAAGATTTCACAGCGTGTCATCTTATTATCAACTGAGTGACTGTGAACCCTAAATGTACTGTGACTTTATTTTCAGAATAAGGGAGATCTTGAAGGCAGCTCGGAAACTGCAGGGTGATCCAGATTCGCCGATGTCTTTCACTTTGGCCATAGTGGAGTCCGATTCCACCATCGTCTATTATAAACTTACTGATGGATTTATGCTGCCAGATCCTCAGGTCAGTTTTGAGGCAACTATCAGTAAACAGTTAAGAAAAAAAAAAGGAAAATTATAACATGATTTTAGGTGTGCATCAAGCCATCCATAGACCTATTTATTGCTTCTTTTGTAATATGAAAATTCAAGAAGAAAATGACTTGATTTTCTTACTCTATGGAAAATTTATAGTTTCCCAGAGCACTTCTTGAAGCCAGGATGCATTTAATTATTTGGTGAGTAACTGGGGTGGAATGTAAAGGCTTATCATAGTTTTAACCAAAAGAATACTCCTTTAGGAAATGTTAAATTGGATGGCATTTTGACTGGAACATTTCAATAAATAAGTGTATATGATTTCTTTACATACTTTGTTGGCGTAATTGGGATAATCACATTAAATATTCTAGTTTTGATTTTAAACTACATTGTCTATCAGGGAAAAGGTCCATCCTGATCTTTTTTTTTCTTTTTATGTCGCAGAATGTTTCCCTTAGGAGATGACATCTACACTTCCTGGTGCTTGCTTTGTTCACACAAGACTGGATTGAGACCCAGCATCCTGGTTCACCTTCTGGCTCAGAGATGGTCAGGGTTGACGTAGCTGGTCCCATCTCATAAGTTTTCTTTTTGGGGCATAAATCTCTCCCAGATAGAAGAATTTATTTTGTTCAAAATAAAGGGTAGTTGCTTTCTTACTTATCTTAAGAACTCTCTTATCTGGAGACCGTTTAGTTATAGTTGTGTACAAGTGTATGCTGAGGATGTGCCCAGAAGGGTGGAACACATGTGTCTTCTGTCATCGCTGCCACTGCCAGCTCGTCCCCTCCCTCAGCCTCCCAGTGTCTTTTCATCACTATAGCTAGCCTGGAATAGTGTTCTATATACTCACAGACACCTGGAGAGTTTAGTCTGCTTCTTCATCCCCAAAAGAAAGTAAGGGTTTTCTTTTGATTGGTATTCGTGTTGCAATGACTGTTACTTCCCTCTTAGGTTGACTTTAAATCAGAACTAAAAATATGCTCACCCAGAGTGTAAAATTACATGTGCAGAATAATAGGGACCAGAGAAGTTCCACCTGCAGGAGTCCTGGGCCTTTCTTTCCCACGTTTATTACCATCTCCCACCCCTTACTGTGTCATAGCTAGGACATTTCAAGAGGGATAGTAGGGGACAGCGTCAACCTTAAAAACATCTTTATGAACTAGACCCAGTTTTTCTACTTTTGTTAATACCTCCCAATTAAGTTGCCTAAAGTATAAAAGGTTATATGCACGAAGGTGTTTCAAGTGGCATTTTGGGACATGAAATAGCTCAAATTATAAACCACTTAAAAGTTTAAGGCAAAGATCAACAAACTTTTTCTGGAAAGGACCGGAAAGGAAATATTAGGCTTTTCAGGCCATATAGGCTCTCTCACAACTTCTCAATTCTGCTGTTTGTTGGGCAAAAATACCTATGGACAATATGTAAGGGAATGGGCATGGCTGTGTTCCAATAAAACTTTATTTACAAATGCAGGGCCATAGTTTGCCAACCCTGGTCTGGGGAAGTAGTCAATAAACATACATAGCTAATGAATGATACATTATGTACCTACTAAAAATTAGTAATGAATGTAATGAAACACATGAGAAAATACTTAGTAAAAAAAAAAAAAAGCAAGGTACCATAGTGTATGAATGGGTATGGCCAAGGCTATAAATAACACACCAAATATAAAAAGATGAGACAATAAGTTACTAACTGTGGTTATCATAGGATGGCAGGGTAGTGAATGGATGACTTTGTCTTAAGTATTTCAGTTTTTCTTTATTTGTATTACTTTTATAAGAAAAGTGTTTTAAAATAAAGGCATCCTGAAATCTATATTAGTTGTCACTTAGCAACCTGAAATAGCACGCATTCAGTATCTCAGAGTCGGGTCTTTGTTGAGGCTACAATCAAGCTGTGGGCCGGAGCTGCAGTCTCATCTTGAGTCTTCACTGGGGACGGGTCTGCTTCCTCACTCATGTGCTTGATGGCAGCCTTCTGTCCTCTGTGGGCTCTTGGACAGAAGGCCTCAGTTCAGTGGGCTGTTGGCAAGGGGCCACCCTCTTTGCCACCTGGGCCTTGCCAGCACAACTAGTTTTTTTCCTCAAAGCCAGCAAGGGAGTCTCAGCAAAGTGGATCTCGTAATCTTAGTAACGTAGCCTTGTGTCCTGTCACCTTTGCCATATTCTGTTGGTTGGAAGCAAGTCATGGCTAATTACTCTAGAAAATAATAACAAGAATGGAAAAGTGGCCAAAAGTAGGAAAATTATGAAGTAGTATAAACATCATTCTTTATCTGTAGTGGTTCCTGACCCCTTTCCTCTGGTGTTATTTGAATGTCACTTCTCTTCTTGATGGAAGGTTTGCCATCTCCTTCAGACTCCCTCTGCTTTCCCAGTTGGCCTGGCGGTGTGCCAACTCAGAGCAGTGTGTTTCTGTGGCCCCAGCTGGCAATCTGCAAATCTCAGGATCCTGAAACAGTTTATGGTCAGTTCTTAGGGTCTCTGCTATTTAATTCCTTTTGAGGCTTTTCATTACAGTGCTCGAAAGACAGTCTGCATTTTCAAAATGGAGCATAAGGCTTAGTGAACGTTAGATACGCATGTCAGATCTGGTGACCGGTGGCCCCCCATGTAACTACAAGGCCGGGAGCATCTGGGGGTGGCCTGTGAAAGGAGCCTTCTCGTAGAGATCTGTAAAGCTTGGTCTCAGTCTCACTGTATGTCCTGGGTTGTTTGTTCTTTTTCAGAATATTCCCTGTGTACTTGACCAAAATTGTTCTGTCCAAGGCCAGTCAGATACCTGCTAATGTGAATAATGGTCCAGAGCAGTTTGGAAATGGAGACGACCCCGCTCTGTCAGTCTCATTTTAGTGAAAAACTAGGTAAAGTGGTTTCTTTTATATGATCAAGTAACTTTGTAATTAATTGCGCTGACTTCTGTCTCTCTCGTTAGACTATAGCCTCCTTAAGGACAGAATAAGGAACCAGGGCTTTTATTTTTTAATTTGTTTCATTGCAGTGTAGTTGATTTATAGTGTTATACTAGTTTCAGGTGTACGACATAGCGACTTGATATTTTTATAGGTTATATTTGTTGAAAGTTCTTGCAGCACAATGGTTATATTTCCCTGTGCTGTACAATATGTGCTTGTTGTTTGTTTTATACATAGTAATTTGTATCTTTTAATCCCTGACCCCTGTCTCGCCCCTCCTTCCTTCCTTCTCCCCTTGTGGTAACCGCTAGTTTATTCTATATATCTCTGAGTCTGTTTCTGTTTTGTTATATTCCCTAGTCTGTTTCATTTTTTAGATTCCACATTTAAGTGATAACAAACCATGGCTTTTTTTACACATCTGTGTATCCCACCACCTTCCACAAACTGGTTCATACTAAGCTTCCAATAAATATTTGGTGAAAGGATAAATGCTGAATGTACACTTATTTAATTATATAGTGGTTTACTTTTTGCCTCAGAGTAAACTAAAATGATCCATGTGGACAGCAGAGGGCACTGCTAAATAAGCACAGAATTTTCAGACTTGAGGAATGGATCAACTTGAGAAGTCGTGCTCTTGAAAATTTATTTTCAATCTGTGGGAAATGGCACAGATAAAAATATAAAGAAGTTTTATGTGCTCACAGCCCCCCCTTTTCTTTCTGGCATGCCTCTAAAATTACCCTCTCTACTGACATTAAATATGTGATTTGACTTATTGTTTGCTCAAAATATAGATCAATTTTAAAATAAAAGCTTGTTTGGGTCAGGGGTCGGTGGGGGGTGTTTTTTTCTAGATTATAGTTTTGTTTATACCCATATCCCATGATGATTTCATTTTTTCATCACAAAAGCTTAGTATATTAAATAAAATTTCAAGATCAGATCACGGAACAAGAAACCCCTGCTCTGAAACTCGTGACCTGGCTAAATCCCGGTGGTGAGAGACATACATGGCTACTGTTGTGCCTGTAAACTTTTCCGTTAATGGGCAGCCCTGTCTAGGTGGGGGCAGGAGGGGAAGGGCACGCTGTGATCTCTCCAGTGCTGCCTTTGCCTCTGTATTTTGGATTCCCTAGGCATTGCACCCTCCGCGCTGGGACGGCTCAGTGGAACACTGAGTGATCTGGGTCCAATGACTCCTCCCGACTTAACTGATTTTGCTTCCCTTGCCTGGGGTTCTGTAGGAGAATGTGCGTCTAAATACCACAGATCCTTCCTGAAGAACGTGAGGGTGGGGGCACTTTGGAATTCTAAGTTACAACTAGAATAGAATAGTTATCTACAAAGTTCATGTAATCTGCATTAAAAAAAAAACTAAAACAAACTTTACACTTTAATATGCCTCGAACCAAATGACTTAACCAAAACTTCATGGTGTTTCATCTTCTCTTTTCTGAGCATTTCAGTTCTGAATTCCTCTCTGAGGTCACTTTTTCCATTGCAGCCCCAGCAGGAAGCCTTGCGCTGCCGCAGCCCAGTGGTTCCTGCCAACGTTTATAGTTCTTCTAGACAGAAGCTCTTTATTCATCTGCCGTATTTTACCTTGACTGTTTATATGTGCAGAATAATGTCGTATTCTCTGAACAATTAGTACAATTTTCCTTCCTTTCAGACCAAGAGTTGGCCCATTCCTTACCACCCCCACTCCTGCAGCCTAATCCTCTTAGTAACCTTTGAAGGAGAGCTGCCTGGGCTCCCCAAGGAACAAGGATGGGACAATCCCGTGACTTATCGGGAGGGTCTGCCTTTAAAATGTTTAGGTGATTCTGGAAGACTAACAACCAATTTAACTGAAATCAAAGATTGACTTTTTGGATTTCAGAGTACTTGAATGGAGGTAATGTTAAGGAAGTATTTAATTAAAGTTCATTAATTTACTAACAGACTAATTGATCTTCAGATGTTAACTGGGCTCCGCCTCTGTGCTTAGATGACTGTGGTAAGGGCTGAGGCTACAAAGGTTAGTGTGATGTGCCCTGTGCCCTCGAGGAGCTCAGCCAATTACAACTCTCACTCTAAGAGTGTTGCCATTGTCAGGAACGCGCATCATGCAGCATGTGATGTTTACGCGAAAAGGCTCGGCAACTTTTGGTGAATTAAAACAGGTTTTAAACAAGCACTGTGTGTATATCATTTGTCCCAAAGGGCTGAACGTTGAAGAGGATGCAGAGAAATATTCCACAGTGCACTTCTCCAAGACATTGTCTGGCTTGAAAAGAGAAAATCTATGTGTACGAGATAATTTGAGAGCATTACAGGCAGTATTACATAAAAATGCTAAATGATAGTTGTTTTATTCACTACTAAACGCTTCAGGACACTTTGATTCTCACCACAGAGCTGGTGTTATTTGCTTGCTATTATTAATTTATTATCCTTATGTAATAGATGGAGAAATTAGGGCACCAGGTGGTTAAGGAACAGCTTCATGCAGTAGCTAGTGAGGACTAGAACCAGGTCTCTCAGCATCTAGCCCACTGGTCTTTTCAGAATCTTGTGTGGTACAGAGAAATATATTAGGATGTGTCAAACAGCCTTTGAGAAGAATAAAATAACCCTCCTCAGTCCCGAGGGAGCTAGGAAGTGGTTTAGGGGTCAGCTGTAGTGTCCCCTTGTACTCTCGAACAAATCTATCCGCATGTCAAGCTGCATGTGGATAATCTGTAAAAGCATATTCATAGGCAACATATTTATAAAGTTTTATTCCAAAGAATAAATACATTCATGTCCATGCTCTTACGTAGGCAAACCTAAAAGAATATTTAGTGTTAAATGAAAAAGAGCTCCAGGTTGGAGGTAAATTCTGTGCTGGTACGAAGAGCAGCCTCAGGGAACTTTGAAACGATGATTTCACCCTCAGGGCGGAAGGGTCTTGCACCCTAAAGATCCCCCCGATCTGCCTGCTGTTGCTTGAAATCTGACTGTAATTTTTCTGCTTAATCATGAAGCTTTGATCCAGTTTAATTTGACGAGCATTTTTGCAGGACCCTGTGAGCAAGGCCCAGTGCTAAGATTCTGGGGGACTATAAGCCCAAATAGTGTATTATTAGACTCAACAGATTAAGTTAATCAGTTAAAATTGTTACACAAATTTCTAAATGTTTATTCTCAATTTCTTTACCTACCTTATCGCAGACCAGCAATATTTTGTGGACTGACACCTGTGTATGGACCACACTTTGAGTAGCATGTGTGAGGACTCAGATGAGAAGTGCTGAGAGCCTGAAACCCAAGAGTAGCCGAGGTATGGTAGGATGGGCAAGATTATGATGCTGCTGGTTCACAACCTCGGGAATTTCCTGGGTGACGTCTGAAACTGGCCCCCGTACGTGGAGGGCCAGGAGAGACTGAAGGGAGGGGCAGACCACGCAGTCTGGTAGGTGGCAGTTTGAACAAGTAAGGGAACTTACATACGAGGCTCGCCTTGGGCGGCTGCGAGACAAGTAGATCTCTGCACCTGCCCTCTGGAATCTTAAAAGTTTATACTGAGGCCTTAACTGGGTTCAGTCACATATTCAGTCCAGATGGTTAACAACACTTTAGCATCTCAAGGCTGTGTCCTTGAGAATGTCTCGCACTGTGGATCCCCTGTGCATTCCAAGGACAGGGGAGGGGTGAGGAGCCTCCATTGCCCTGGTCCAGCTTGGGGGTCAGCTGAGGATCACGTCCTTTGATAACCTTTTCCAACAGATTCAGTAACAACCATGAATCAGGTAAACAAATGTTTATTTCTTGCTCACGTTACTAGTCCCTTGGAGCTCTTACTCTGGGGAGCAGGGCAGCAGAGCCTCCGGCAGCTGGGACGTTGTTGGTTCCAATGGCAGGAAGAAGAAA